CTTTTGCCATTCGTCTTCAATATTTCTGACTAATCCACCAAGAAAACGAAACAATAACAAGAATATATATGAGTCACACCTAACAAATTCTATATGGTTTTTTCTTTTCTTTATAATGTTATTTTAGTTTCAAGATAAGAAAGCTTTTACTGTGTCATCAAAGCGCTTTATCCAATCGAATTGCGACCTCCACAACGCAAGTCAAGGAGCAAACAAAACTTTAATGATAAAAGAGAAACAAAACTTGAATTCGAAAGAGGAAACGAACATGATAAGAGGAATCATGAGAGGGAGAGGCAAAGATGTGTCGACGACCATGGAAGAATATGGAATCGGGGAGACGTTGTTGCCGCTCGCTTCATCTTCGGCCTCCAGTATTGCCCAGATATTCTTCGCTGCTCCCATTTCTCCTCCTCTAGAAAGTAATAAATTCTCTTTTCAGATCTCAATTCTGATTCTCTTGCCCCTAATTTTATGTCCTCTATATACAATACATATATATTTTGATTAGTCATTTCCACATGCCGTGAGAGTTTGTGATTCGGGATGGTTGATTCGTTAAACCACATCAAATTGCGAATTGACTCTTCATTTATTTTGTTTTTTTTGCCTTATGGTTTATCCTCTATTTTTTTTTGTTTTCCCGTCAATCACCATATATTAAATTAAATGTTACCGGTGGGATGGTTCTTCTAACAGACAACCCCAAACGAAAATGTCTAACTTAAATTGGAGAATTCGAGCTAAGTCAAACTCTACAATAAAAGATGACTAATCTAGTGAATGTTCTCGAGGGGCAAAACAAGTGAGTCACCCCATTGTCGTAGATCTTCTGCTTCTCTTCCCCTTCTCTTCGGCTAGCGATACTCCAACTCTCCGACTCGACGATTGTTGTCAGGAAAGTATAATGTGGAGATATTGTTTTTTCCTTGAAATTCTTATAGTTTATGACCTTCTAAATATACCAGAGGATCCAGGGGAAATAATCTCTTTGAGACTCGGATAGACCGATCTCTTTCGTACGCAAAAATAGGAAGTCCATGTTTCGAAATAAAGAGGTACTCAGAAAGAAACCCGGAGAG